TTTTAAATAAGAACCGGCAAAGAGGAAAAGCGTTTTCTATTACGTAAACCGGTTGGATCTTCCATTGAGTAACGAGTTACGAAACACGTCGGACAAAGAAAATTTCTCTTGGAGCTTTCGTATCCTTGCCTGTGAGAATATCGTGTCCTCCGTCGTTCTACGGAAAGTTAAACAGCCAATTCCGGTTTGACTGGCCATTATACGCGTACGAATTAATACTCGCGATCGTAAATTATCGGCCGGTCACGAGTTTGCACGACGCTGATTTAACGGACGACTCCCGGCTACCGGCCGGTGTGTGCATCTTCTTTTAGCGTGGTTCGCGTGTGTCGTAATTTATCTTCGAACGATCTCCGCGAAATTTAGTGGGACTTTGCCGTCTACGCGAGGAAAACATGTGAGTACATATTGCTAACGATTCTAGTTTAGTCTACAAATAAAGTTTAAGTCTACGTACTGCGCCATTCGCGTGTTAGACAAATTGTATTCTTTTTATGCAATTTGTACGACATTTAGGTTAGGGAGGAGCATAAAAGTGTACACTGAATTAGTTTAAGTGCTGTTTTAAGTGGTTTAAACGAATAATTCAAGTTCGTTTAAAGTTTATCTTAATCATAACCTAAGAAAGTTCAAGTTTTACGCAGCTTGTCATTCGATCGTGCAAATTTCGTTTGCAGCTGTTTCGTGTGTTCAGATTTCTATAAAAAACTACTTTTAGAGTGCCAATTTAAAAAGTAGTTAGTGCTATGCGTTTTGCTGTTTGTGTTGTATGCAATTTTGTGCACGGTATGTATCTTATATTCCTAATTTTGCTATACATCTATAAAATCCGTAATATAGTAATAGCATTTGATGTCTACAGTTATTCATTCATTAAAAGTTCTTGATACATAGTCTATACACACGAGAAACAGAGGTCGATGACCCATTCTCGATCGCGTTTGAACGGTACGTGGGGACAATGTGTTCGACTAAATTTTGATGAATCAACCTCAGACTTGATTAACTGTGCAATTTTGTATGTGGAACGAGATGCAGAACGGGAGTAGTTAAAGCGGTCTTGAACGTGCATTAAACGGTGTAATTAAACAGCCTGTTTGGGATGTCTGACACGATTGCGCAGGCAAGGTAATAATTGTTTCTCTCTAATGCCTCTTATGTTGATTATAATGCGTGTTCGCCTCCTATTCCCGTTGTATATATTTTTCAAACAGAACCCGTGCCTCATCACACGCCGCGTGATTTCCAGGCCATCCGCTATTCGGCACATTTTTACTATTTTTCCTCTCCACGGTCGAAGCGATTTTCGAATACCATTAACGTGTTAGAACCTGTTCCACGTTTCAGTGACGATTCAATAATTCGATCAGCTTTGGAAATGATCGCAAAGGCATGATACGAACTTGAGATAAGCAAATTGGCTATAAGTATTGTTTGGTAAGTGAGGGATAAGGGTGGGTCATTGTGAAACGCAGGGAAATATACGCGCGATGGTACCGTAATCCGAGTGGGGCCTTCACGCATCGCAGATCGAAACGAGCGAGCAGCGAACAGGCACGATCGATTCGTGCTCGGGGCTTGTTACAGCTCCGTGGCTGGTCGAAAGTTCGAACCGAGGCCCGTGCATTTAATATTTCCGTTATTGCGAGCGCCCGTGCACCGAGGTTACGCCTTTCACACCGCGAAACACCTACAATTATCCACTCCGTGTTACCAATTAAATATTTACAATAATCATTATACAATAATTGCATTTTATGTATAGTACAAATTCTATCAGGTGTTCGTACGAAATTAAACGCTGATTAAATGAATCTCGTCGTTGTCGAGTATTCGTATCATTGAAATCAGTACGGATTTTATTTTTTATAAATAGTTGCGTAGTTTAATTATCAGAAACGATTGAGCAAAAATGATTGCAACGAGATACAAGGCTGAGCGAAGGGAGATAGAAAAACCGATTAAAATGAAACAAAAGAAAACCGATTGAATATCTTGATCGAAGGCTAGAAGCAAAAAAGGATTAACAGCTGTAGAAGTAATAGAGCAATTAGCGATCGTGTAATTATCATGTGAACTTAGCGGCTTTCGTAATGCCGTCGGACCCGATCCATCTGGAACTTCTTTAGAACGAAGCGGTCGATCGACTCGATTGAATCACGATTAGCAGTCTATGACTTCAGAATTGCCGGATCAGTTTAAAGTTGGACCGAGAGGATCAGCCAAAATCGGACTTAACTCAAACCTTGCTCGTTCAGCTGCATAGATCCTTAATCCGACACCGTCACGTGTACACCACTGCACCGTAGCTCGATCATTCTCACGTAAATCTTCACAATTAACAATTGAATTATGGAAGGACGCGGTGAACGGGCAGAGAGAGGACAGAGTCTAACGACTGTCGCACAGAACCCGGCCACAGAGGGTGAACCGTACAAGTCGGTGGCCGCCGCACGACTAAACCTCGATCCAGGACTTTCACTTGGCGATCCAGCGGGCCCTCCTCTTATTCCTTCTCGAACCGATTACCCGCAGCACGCCCACGCTCACTCTGAATCACGATCGGATTGTTCTTTAAGGTATAATACTTACCGTTCCCTCGAAGCGTTGTTGTTCTACATTGAATCCTACACGGATTTAATACAACAGTTAAATCTGATGCAAAAATCTTTTCTCAGTAGTCGGTTTATATTTAATTCCTCTAATAGAGAACATATTCAATAGCTTTATAGATCTTCATTTTGTTTCAGAGTATAGAAAATAATTCAAGATTCTTCAGTACTTTCTTGTGTACCAAGGAAATTATGGTAGCCTCTTATTAGGAGTAGGAGTGAATGAACTCGGGAACACAGACTGTTTAAAGTTTGCCAATCGCAAGTTCGTTGACCAAGGAAGACGAAAAGTCTGTCTGCCGCTTACGTAAACGACGCTTTCGTTTGTTTTTCGAACGTGAGCGTCGGTTAGGCACCGTCTCTGATTAAACAGTGACGGCTTCGATTTCAGTGAGAGATACCAGTAGAAATCCAGAATTGTGAGGCAATGAAATAGTTCATTCGAAATTGAATTAGCTCTCTTGTTTGTAAAACGAAACTTTCATGCTTATATAAAACTGAGTTGATAAGAACAGTAATTTAAGAGAATTATTAGATGTTTTCTTAGGATTGTTACTGTATTTGGTTGAGAAAAACCGGGTTGTTCATTTTCCGTTTGATCGTAGGAACGAAAATTAATACTCGATGGGGCGAAGGCGTGCAACGTAATCGGTGGCGGGTTATATCGAGTGCCAGCTGTTCACCTCTGTGGCCAGACATAATCCTGACTTTCCTCGGTCTACAGTTACTCCGGGGTGAAAGGTGAACTCTACTCCTTTCCCCTTTGAACGATTCTCGACAATAAACGATTGCAACATCGCGCAGTTCTTCCAAAATCAATCGTAAGATTGCATAAGATCTTACAAGAAATACAATAGACGTTTTGTTTGCGAATATAATAGACGTTTTCCTATGAGGATAGGTTCTTTTATAAATAATTCTATTATCGGATGAGGGCTTATAATCCAATTATGTAACTGAAAGACGCGAATGGTACGAAGGACGCCGGTCGTCCTGTTCCCAAAAGAGGCACGTTTCTCGGAATAAGGCCAAGGAAAATGAGAGAACCGAGGATCTCGAGGCAGAGACACCGCCGGGATCGTATCTAATCTTAATCGTTTATTCCTCTCGCGTATTCACAGTTTTATTATTTTCCCGTGGCCACCACGACGAAAGTGACATCATATGCTGTTCACGAACCAGTTCTCATTGACTTTAATACCGGTTTTCTTGCGTCGCGACAGTCGGATGGGGTCACAACCTCAGATTGCACCGGTCTACGAAAATGTACAGTGTAAATGAAAAGGGAACGAGACTAATAGTTCCCTCAAGGGATATCGAACGAGTTTTCTGGAGAGATATGAAATTTGCAAACTTGTACCAACACTGATTACATGCCATGATGTTGATAATTCATCTGTTTCGTAATTACAGATTTTTCTGGTTTTAAGTTTTAGGAAAAAATGTCTCAGTTTCTAATCACTGGCTTATTTTTCTATTAGAAATCAAGACGTTTACCTTAACGATAGAATTACAAAGTGGAATCGGATTGGCTAACCAGATGTTTGCGAGTTTGGAATTACGGTTAATGGTATTTAGAATTGACGTACAATGGCAATCAGTCTCGAAGCGAAATTGGTTCGTTTAAGTCGGTAGATCAACTGGAGGCTGTGCCAAAAATCGCAGAGGGTGGGTCTTAATTAAATTCGTCTAGACAGTGATTCGAGGGCGACGTCGAGGCAAAAAGAAGAAGGTCTCTATTCTCTTATGTAATGGAGACCGAAGTTTCTGCTCGGTGTACCGTGCACGTAAGCCGCCTCCTCGCAACCAAAACGGAGAGGCCCATTGTCTCCCGCGAGTTCATAAACGGCCGGCGTTTTCATTGAAACACAGGCTCGCGCGGCCTGCCTCTAAACCAACTTTTAATCTAGCAAATTGCCTTTTGGTTAAGGTAACAATCGAGTCGTCCCACGGTTCGCAGATATTCCAAATAGACGCCTTAGTATCGAAAAACAAGAAACAAGCTGATAGTGTAAATTGGTAATACGAGACACAAACGTGATAAGGTAAAGGAGGTAGTACTGGGACAAAACGAATTTTGGAACCAGTACTTGGACATAATAGATATGTATTTAATAATTTACTGTCCAAGTTTACAATCCCTTTTGAAACTTAATACGTACAAGTGGGACAAGACGGCAGTGGCTGTCCAGGTTTAGCCCCTCACTAATTAATCGAGCTGCAATACCTGGATAAATTCGGATCTGCTATAAAACCCATTCAAACGTATGATATATTTTTCACAATAAATGATTTAGTGTATTTTCATAACTTTTCAACCCTTTCTCTTAATCCAACTGTTTCTCAATTCGCTTAGAGGCGTCATAATAATATTGTCCCAGTTCTGATTCCATACTTGTCCTACTACACCACTCGTTCAGATTAAATGTGTCCTACTACTGCGGTTGACAGCAATTTTTTTTTAATGCGATTATTTTAATACATATATTACAAAAGAAGGTTTTTTTTTCTTAAATATGACTATGAGATCCCAGCTATCTGCTAAGATGATAAGTTTTCATGTACTATGCTTAAATTTCGTAGTAAAAAACATTATAAAAAATTTATGTTCAAAAGTGTCCAGGTACTACCGCCTTTACCTTACATATTGAATAGTGAAAGATCGTGTATCTGGCAAAATTGTCGGATTGAATTCCGTCTAAAAACCCGGAAGAGAAACCAGTTACTATCTACCATGTCACAGAGTAATTTCCACTTCGATTCGCAATTTTCAATTACCCTTATCACGGTGAATATTTTTGTTGAGTAGCGAGTGTTACGAACTCCCATCGAGAAAGTTTGCTACCACCCACGATAGAAAACGGAATAGCTGTGGCTAGAAGTCATAGACCGGCTGTTAACACGACTTTAAATACTTTATTCGATACAAATAATACTGATCAGGATTTATATTCAATTATGCAAATTCGGTATGCGACTGTGAAGAGAATTTGCACACAATGTACGACGATAAAACTGTACACGCTGTATGAGAATGTTTCATTTTAATTGCGATTTGATTTTTCAACGAGCTAATTGAAACCGATGCTTCCGGGAGCAGCACGTTTCGCGACAGCTTCCTTCTCATCGCGTCGTTGCCCAAGAGACGTCGGAAACAAGGTTGGAGAACCGCGTTCGTGCCATCCAGGAGGCATCGACCAATGAAATTTTTTCTGTCGCAACCATGCCGGGTTGCGACACGATCACGATCGCGAGATAATCGTAAAATACGTGTGGGAGAGTCTTATTACTTTTGTTGCCTAAACCCTTAGTAGAGGATTAATTGAAATCGCTTGATCAGTTTCGCAAGATCAAGATAGATCATGATTGTAAAAAATGATTGGTGAGTTCGTTTCGATACGAAACTCGGGTATCTCAGG